AGAAAGACCAGTGTATGGTGTTTCAGAAACGCTGTTGTAAGAAGATGAAAAGAGCTACAGCTCTCCATCTGCCCGAGGAAGTGAACGAATAAAAGTGAAGGAAACACCAAAGGCGGCGTGTGGAAGGGTGGGCAACGTGGAAGTTCTAGTCGTTGGTGGCGGTAAGGGAGGGTTGAGAAGGAGGTGAGAGTATGCCGGTGTCAACCCATAGCCGACGACGACGACACACACACACACACACACACACACACACACACACACACACACACACACACACACACACACACACACACACACACACACACACACACACACACACACACGTTGAGAACGGCGTTGGTGATGGCGACAAATTTGCCGAGATCTGGGTCGATGCGAAGTTTCAGTCCACTCAAACGCATTCGCGCCGCAACCTGGAATGCCCCGCGCACCTGTTGTTTGGAGTGTGGAGAGGCGGTGGAGAGGCGGTGTGGCAACAAGCAGGATAAAAAATGAGCGCTTCACATGAGATGCATGATGCAAGGCAACACGCCAACCCAGAACAGAACAATTAGGGCGCACGTGTGCAAGTTCATCCACGCGCACGTGCATGTGTGTGAATGTGTGTGTTTGTGTGTGTGTGTGTGAATGTGTGTGTTTGTGTGTGTGTGTGTGTGTGTAATGCGAGGCATGTCAGCAGCACCCCGGAATGTGGACTGGCAAATGATTTCGTAAAGAGGCGCAGCTCGCCAAACGCAACGTGCACGGAGTTGGTGGACCGATGCTCCAGATCTGCACGTCAATACACAATCACGCGAATAACGCGGTGTGTCAGTGAGTGAGTGAGCGAGTGAGCGACGTGAGTACAAGCGCAAGACGACACATCCGGCAATGTTACGCACACACACACACACATACATACGCACACATGCACACAAGCAAGGGCATTCCTGCCCGTTTGCGCCATGGCACATGTGACACGACGTACACTTTGGATTGTTCTGGGCCTGTGGGTCTGTCTCGTGCGCGAAGAAACAGCGAAGCCGCCTCATCCGCACCCGCCCACGCTACACACACACACACACACACACACACACACACACACACACACACACACACACACACACACACACATATGCATGTGCGTGAGCATACAAGTCATCTTGATCCAAGATTGCGTACAAGCGTAGAATACGGGGCGACGCGTGTTCGGGATGTACAAGATATGTAAAACAACGGTGCATGCTCATGTGCGCTCACCTCAACATTGCCGACGATGGCGGAGAATGCAGCAAGGCGAACAATCTTATGATGATGAATGCCGCGTTTGGAGATGCAAATGAGTCAACGGCAGATGGTTGAACACAAACCACCACGACCCAGCACAATCGCGAGCAACACCCAGGGTCCACACCAGTACACACACGCACACGCACGCACACACACACAGGCACACACGCGACTCACGGCAAAGCTGGTGAACTTTGGGCTGGCGGCCAGAGAGCTCATGCTTGACTCGACGAGCGGCAGCGTCAAGTCCACGTGTTTCACCTCCACCTGCACATGCAACTTCAGCCCTGGAACAACGGTCGTCGTGATTGTTTGGTGGTGGTGGTTGGATGCGTTAATGGACATTGTGTGCGCGCGTGTGCGCGTGTATGTGTGCGTGTGTGTATGCATGTATGTGTGTGTGTGTGTGTGTGTACGTGCATCTACGTGCACACGTGTATTCACTTCCACGTGTGCACGCGTCTGTGCAAGTGCGCGCGTGGGTGATCGTACCAATGATGGCAGCGAGACCGCCACCGGCACTGGCGCCCGATTGTTGTGCCGCCGCGCCAGCAGTGGCCAATTCAGGCAGCTGGTGATAATCATCCATGCAGGTGATATAGTGCATACATGCACACGTGCAATTAACGCGTTCCAGTGCATTGCAGGAAGGTAGAGAGTGTGAGCACACACATACATGGACGTTGTCATCTGGAACAAAAAATTGTACAAAAAAAAACCGCACACCAAGCACGATTGGCACACACACACACGTACACACGTACACACGTACACACGTACACACACACACACACACACACACACACACACGCAGTGAACCGCAAGCAAGCACGTGACCGAATACGCGGTGAACGGCGCACCTCGGCCTCAATGGCGCCCTTCCAGAGCGCAGCGGTGGATTTCGTGTCCACCACAAACCAGAGGAAGTGGTTGATGGCCTGGCAGCGTTGCGCGCAGTCGAGGTACAGATGGCGAGGGGGATTGCGAGTCGTCGTTGTGAAGTGAGCGTTGGGGAGGGGGGTTCCAGGGTGAATAAAGCATGGAAAGGGGCGGAACAGAACGCAATGATTCGTCACACACACACACATACACACACACGCACACGCACATTCACTCACGCTTGGCGGAACGTAGATGGTGTTGTTGATGAGTGCAACGCGGAGAAGCAGGCGCGGACTGGCAAAGTCCTGGGATCGGCGTTGACCTCTGGATGTGGACGTGGTGGTCGTGGGAGCGGTGCCGGTGGATGGAAAGCCAGCGGATGACAGGCTGTGGAAGCGGTGTTGAAGGTAAACAGTGGGGTGAGTGTGAGGGAGTGGTATGAGATGTGGGCGCACGCACGCGTATAACACACACGCACGCACGCACACACGCACACATAACAAACACACACACACACACACAGACACACAGACACACGCACACACGCAAACACACACACACACGTAAGCACAGATTCGCAGATTGTGAACCCACCTGTACTTTGCGATGACAGCAAACGAGCCCTTGAGGTGAGCGACCTTGCCAGTCTGGTGGGCGCGGCGCTGAGCCAGGCTGCCACACACGATGGACGGTGATGCCATTTCAAGGTGCACACCAAGCACCTTGCCAATTGTCTCACGCTGTTGCACGTGCCGGGTGATGTGAGCGAGTGGAGCTCATGAAACAAGATGAAAGCAACATACGCATACGCACGCACACACACACACACACACACACACACGCACACACACACACACACACGCACACACACACGGGCACACGGACATTCACACACACACACACACGCACACACACACGGGCACACGGACATTCACACACACGCGCACGCACACGCATACACACACATACACATGCATGCAACATGGTTGCGTACACACCTGGGTGTCTGCCTCGATGGAAAATGCGCCCGTGTCGAATGTAACAAATGTCGTTCGTGTCAGTGCCGTCAACTCAACGCCTTCAGATTCAACCACCACCTGCCAATCCAACGCGCTGTCACCATCGGCATCACCACCACCACTGCTGCTGTCGTGGTGCAAGTCTTCCTCGCGTTTGCTCTGTGACCTGCTCGTTTGCTGACGACGACCACCACCACCGCTGCCGCCATTTTCCCGTTCTCGCTCCTCTTTCACCTCTTGCCGCCGCCGCAGCAGTTGTGACCACGCACTCAGCACATCCACCAGCACGGCCTGCAGCTGTGCATGCAGCTCGTCTCGCTCACTCGCCAGGCCTTTCATCTGTGAGATGAGGGGAACGGCAACCACCGTTCGCCGCACCCACACATGCAAATTGGCTGCACGAGACAACTGCACTGCGCCTTCCTGCTGTTGCTGTTGCTGCTGTTGCTGTTGATGTTCTTGGTGTTGCTGTTGTTGCTGTTGCTGTTCTTGCCTGTGCTGCTCTTGTTGCTTCTGCTCATGCCCCCCTTGTCCTTCTTCCTCTTCCTGATGCTGCTGCTTCCTTTGCTGTTTGGAAATGGACGCCTTGATGATAATTTCGGGCAGGGATATGGATGGCTGCTTCATCTCAACCCAAATTCGTTCGTCCTCTTCATCACCCGATGACGATGATGATGACGACGACGACCACGACGGCGACGGGCGCGTGGCAAACCTGGTACGTGCGCGCCGCCGCTGCTGCTGCTGCTTGGCAGCACTCGCACGCGCAAACTCTGCACTGTCTTTGCTGGCGCGTCTGCTGTCGCTGTCTCGCTGCTGGGCGCGGGTTGTTGCCTGCGCAACACTGCCGACGAGCATTGACACTGTCGAGGATGGCGATGGTTCCAGACCTCGGTGACGACCACCGCTGTCCACACCGGTAGCTGAAGGCATAGTGTCGCCGACAGCCATTGAGCCAGCAACTTGAAGATGCTGCTCTGCAATGTGAAGCGTCATGTCCCATTCGTTTGCAGTGTCGCTCGTGTCTGTCGTCGCACTCGCAAGGATAGACGCAATCTTGTACGAGAGGTCTTCCACGCCTTGCGCCCTCACGCTGAAGTTGCTCACGGCGAGCGCCACAGTGGTGAGCACTGGACTCGCAGCAGCAGGCAATTGCGGGCTGGTGGACTGACCGTGTTCTGGTTGCTGCTCTTCTTGCTTGTCGTCATGCCAAGCGTGCTGTTGCCCTTGTTGCTGTTGCCCTTGTTGCTGATGCTGCTGTTGCGGTTCGTGCGGTTGTTGCTGATCCGTGTTGACATTTTGTGTACCACGACGGGCAGCGCTGTTGCTTTCATCATGACCAGGCCCATCCTGTGATCGTGGCGAAGCGCCGTGTGCCGTTCTCCGTAGCCCAAAGTCGGAACTTGTCCTGTTGTCATCCTCCAGCCACTCTGTTCTTCCACGGCGCTGCTGCTGCTGCTCTTGCTGCTCTTGCTGCACAGCCGGTGCTGACCGTGTGGCAAACATCGTCTCTTGCACATTGCCATGATGGCTGAGCATGTCATGCTCCTCATCAAACCCGCGAACAATCACATCATCATCATCGCGATCACGGATGCCCTGGTCGGTGCCAACAACGCCACGTCCAGCACCAGCAATCTCTCCGCTGTCATCATCATCATCATCATCATCACCATCACTCCCTGACCCGTGGACACTGCCAAGTTCAATCACCACATCATCGCCATGGTGGTGTGCTCGGGCGTGCGAAAGTCCCTGCTGCCGTGGTTGCGCTCGAGCCACACCGCTGCGGTCTTGATCGTGGGTATCGGCGTGGCGCCTGTGTCTCGC